CAGGGCGGGTATGTGCCTAGGAGTGCTCTGTGGGTTTTTCCCAGGACAAGGGTCACGCCCCCTTCCTTGGACAGGCTTTGCTCTGAAGTAGAGGCTGGTTTCTCAATGCTTTCTGTCTGTGTTAGGTGGGATGTGCCCCTCTGTAATTGACAGAAAACTCAAATCCAACGTGCTCAAACTGAAGGAGGATTTATCAGCCCCAAGATAGGGATAGCTTCAGGAGTTGATTTGATCCAGACACAACAAACTGCCATCACAGGCCTGTCTTTCCTGGACTCTGTTTCCTGTGGTGTGGGCTCTGTCTTCAGGTGGTTATCCTCATGGTGGCAGAATGAATGTTGCTCTGCCAAGTATCATGTCCTGTATCCTGCCATGCAGGAGGCAACTTTATGCCACAGAACCCCACTCAAAACACTTCTCTGTTATGGGCACAAATTGGGTGACATGCTACCCAGAGAGGGGAACCGTGAGATGGGATTGTGCTCAGCTGTGTAGCAGGTGTTGCTTCCATTTCCATACAGCCAGGGATGGAATCATCTCCCTCTTTTCTACACTCCTGATGCCCAGCCTGGGGATGCCCAGAAGAGGTGTGGGATCTAGGGAAATGGGTGGGGAGGTGCTGTCACAATCTGGGGCTGCTGGGCTCAATGAAAGGTAGGACATCCAGTTACACTGTTTCAAATAAATGAGAAGCACTTCTTTTGGGGACCAGTTTGGGACATGTCTATACTAGAAAACCATAGTTGCCTGGAATTCAGATTAAAGAGGGCATCCTTGGTTGACTAGGGCCAGCCTTCCTCACACTTCTGTGTGAGGAGGAGTCCTGAGGGTGAAGGTTAGAATGCAGATTCGGATTCTGTGGTGTGGGGAGAAGCCTGGGAAACTGCACTGTGCACAGCACAGTTGCCAGTGTGCAGCGGAGGCCCCCACTTTGGGGAGTAGACCAGGTAGCTCAGAAGGGAAGTCGCTGGCCAGGGAGAAAACTCAGGAGGTGCTTGCTGACTTAACAACGGGGAGATCTGCAGAGGGTGGCTGTGCACTTCTCTGAGTACAGGGCTTCACAGCAACGGGACTTCAACAGCTGCAGACCCTCCGCCTCCGATCTGCCAACTGCAGCTGCTCCTGACGGGTGGGGTGGTGTGGGACGACATTCACATGGGGCTGGCAGCAGCCCTGGAGGCATGCTCCGCGCCTCAGAGAACTGGCCACTGGGGCTTTACTGCTCAGCAAGAGCCAGGCCCCCGAGTGCAGTGCCTGGAGACTGGGCTCTTCAGTTACCAGTGGCAGAGACCCACATGAAGTTAGCAGAGGCCTTCCTGGGGACCTCCTGGGGACCTCCTGGGGACTCTGGAGAGACGTCTGAGGAAAGGCGAGCGTAAGCTTCAGCACGGCTGGTGGAACTGGGGCACCAGGGCCTTCTGGCTAGGATGGCTGAGCCACGGGTCATGCCCTCTCACCCCTCACCTACATGCCCAGCCTCATTTTCTGCTGTGGCCTCCTCTGCATGGTGGGGGACAGGTCACCGTTGGCTCCAGAGCCTCCCTGTCCCAGTGTCTGCCTAGGAGTGCAGACTTGCGGGGCCACAGAGGAGAAGGCCCCTGGCTGGCTGGTGTGGATCACGGGAGGCAGTGAGAGCTCTGCTGCTCTCTCTGTATGCAAACCCAGCACTCCATCACACTCAGCGTCTCTGCTTCAAATCACTGCATCTAGAGGACAATGACGTTTGGGGGTGGGGGTGGGGCTGGCAGTTAGGCATACACCTGAAAGTCTGCATCAGGGAGGGCAGCTGCAGGAAAAGTATCTCTCCATTAGAAGTTGTTTCTATTCATATTTTAAAAACATTTTCATTTGTGGTAAATGCACATAGCTTAGCCATCTTTAGTTGTATAGTTCAGTTTAATTATTTTCCTTTTGTGCTTCCAGCGTCACCAAAAGTGAAATGAGGCACCCTAACCAACACCTCTCCATTCCTCCCACCGGCCCTCTGGTGATCACAGGTCTGCCTATCTCCGAGTTTCTCCACTCTCAGTACTTCCTGGAGCAGAGTCACACAGTTTCTTTTCTGACTAGCTCAGGTCACTTAATGTCTGCAAGGCTCCTCTGTGCTGTTGCACATGTCAGAGTTCCTTTCCTTTCTAAGGCCAAACAATATCCCATTTTGTCTATGCATTCATCTGTCCATGGACACTCAGGTGGCTCCCATCTCTCAGTTACTGTGGACAAAGCTGCTATGGCCATGGGTATGCAGATCAGACGCTGCTCTCTACTTCAGACGGGCACCTGGTGGGAGAATGGGTTAACACAGGGTCAACGGGGGACCCAAGCTTCTCTGGCTTTGCTGTTTCCTTTGTTACTGTCCATGTCCAGCCAGCAAGAGGGGAGACAGTGAAGCTTCTAAAAGCCTGGGCCTGGAAGTGGCCTGTGTCACCTGTACTCCCATCCCATTGGTGAGAACCCATCATGAAGCCACACTGAGATGCCGAGAGGACAGTGTAACCCCAGGAATGACCTTAGGCCAGAGGAAGGGAAGAGCGTGGGTTTTAGTGGTAACGGAGCCACTGCAACCCTGCCCTGTGGTTGAGAAACATCCCAGTGCTCGTTTGGTTGTTTTACAGACTCAGAACTAGCAGTTTCCCTCTCATGTGAAACTCAGCAGGCACTGTGCCTGTCACAGAACCATCAAGTGCCTAAGTCACCCTGTCTCCTAACTCCACCATCTTCTACGTGTGGCTTCCGTCTGGTGATCCAAGTCAGCTGCTCCAGATCTCAGTGTTTGGTTCTGTTTGGCCAGCTAGTAAGGGAAGGGGACAAAGAGTGAGGAAGCTGCCCTTTCACTACAGCCTCCACAGGACACCTGCTGACCTAATTCAGAGGAACACAGATGTGGTGTTTCTTGTACATGGGCTGTGTGTGCAGAGTTCATACACATGATCATAAATCTATAGCAGCATACTCCTTCTTTACTAAGATTTGTTTTAAAAATTGCCTTTGCAGTATTTTTGAAGCCGGGACACAAACATATCTTACTATTGGCATGCAAAGACATTGAGTGTGCAATCTCGGGATTCGTGTGGACTGACCTGAGGATTCCCCGCAGCTGTAGCATGAAATGGCTAATAAGTAATTATTGTCCCATTGCCGTTGGGGTTTAGATGAGCCAGGGAGCGAACTGAGCGACGTTCACAGGTGTTACTACACACATGGTCTTCCCGCCCCGTTTCACAGATAAGAAAGTGAGGCTGAGAGAGGTGTCCCATCACAAGTTAAGTGTAGCGCTTGTGTCTCTGACTCCCAAGCTTGCTGTCCGTTTCAGTGACGACAACATAAAATGATTATAATTAACCTGCAGCTTAGGTCACATTAGGGGAGAGGGAGTAAAATAGGGAAGAGAAGACACCAGGGGCTCCGGCTCACAGACACTGGTGTGGACCATTATTTAAAAATACGTGTTTTAAGGCCCTTGCTTGAGGGCCGCCCTGGGCGGCGGGCGAGACGGGTCGCGGGGCAACGGCCCACACAGGAGCCCTGCCTGGCAGCGCCGGGGCCCGCGCGGGGACGGGGACTCCCGCTGCCGAGTGCACAGTCACGGCGAAACGCACCCTCGCGAGTCGCTCAGTGAGCGCCCTGGCCGCTCGCGCTCCGCAAGTGGGGAGGAGACCCATTACAAAGCCTGGCTGTGCCAGGACCTAGGGGAGGCACCGCGCGTGTCGCGTCCTTCGGCAGCGGGAAACTGAGGCCGACAGGAGCGGCAGGGACAGGCTTCCCTGGCGCGGCGCCTGAAGCGCAGCACTGTCCGGCAGCCGTGGGGCCCAGGGCCAGATCCCGGGACGGAAGGGGTTACCATGATAGAGACGACAGGAGGACCGGGTGGCGCGAGCGTCCCCGGGGTGGCGCGGCCTGCGGACCGCGCAGGCGCGAGCGGCCGGCTGGGGGCCGCCCAGACACCCGGAAGTCAGCGCCTAACGGGCCGTGCCGAGCCTGCTGTCCTGGGAGGGGCGGGGCCGGCGCCCCTCGGCGCGAGGCGCCATAGAGCGGGGACGGAGGACTCGGGTCCTAGACGCGTCCGGAAGTGGCTTCCTTCGGCGCCGCTCGGCACCATAGAGCTGGGGGGCTGCGGCCAGGGGTCGCGGAGCCCTCCTGCCTAGAGCGGCGAGGACGGGGTGGCGGCCCGGGCGGAGGGGCAGGGGAGGGGGAGCGGCGCGGGCGGAAGCGGCCGGGAAGGTCACTTCCGGCCTGGGCGCCCGTCCCCCTGACCCCAGGGTCTGAGTCGCCGCTGCCGCCGCTGCCACCATCCGCGAGGCAGGCGCGAGGAGGAGGAGTGCGGCGCGGTGGCCCCGGGCCGGAGGAGGTGAGGGCGGCACGGGCGTGGGGGGCGTGCATCGGGGTTGGCGGGGGGCGCGCGTCGGGAGCCAGGCTTCGCACGGGGGTGGGTGGGGAGGCGGGCGGGCGAGCGCGGCCAGGCGGGCGAGCGCGCGTGCGCGCCGTTGGGGGGGGGGAAACGTGAGCGGGCGCGCGACCGGGGACTGCGCGTGCGCGCGACCCGCGGTTCTGGGGCAGTGCGCGGGCGCGCGGCACGGTGGCGCGCGTGTGACTGTTGGGCTGGGCCGGGTCGGGTCGGGCGGGTGGCTGGGTCCGGGGCTTCTCCGTGCCGCTCGGCACCTCCGCCCCCCGCGGCCGGAAGTGCTGGCGACTTCGGGTGGGGGGGAGTTGAGGCCGCGCGGGGCCGGGCTGGCCGGAAGCGGCGGCCGGGCCGTCGCGGCCCTAGGTCTCGCGGGTCTCTTCCTTCCTTCCCCTTTCCGAGTCGGCGTGGTCCGCTGCTGCCCCGGGCGGGCCGCTCTGCCCTTTGATCCACGGGTAATTACGGGGATGCGGGCAGCGAAGGCCCATTCATTCCCCCGCTCGCCGGCGGGCGGCAGGAAGCGCGTCCCGGGCGGGAGGCGGCCGGGCCAAGGTCAGCGCCGCGTGGCCAAGGCCGCGGCCTCCCTGCGCGCCCCGCCGGCCGCCGCGCCTCCCCCGCTGCCCCTGTGGCGGCCGGGGGAGCAAGTGAAGTGAGGACGGAGGCCGCCTGTGTCCACCCGTGCTGGGCACCAGGGACCGCGAGACAGCACGGGCCCAGGTGGAGGGCTGACAGCGAACCCTGACAGGGCACCACCCTGCCAAAGCCCTGCTGGGTCCGGGAGCCACCCCGACCAGCCCTTGGGGCCTCAGGAGGGCAGCGACTTGTTTTTTTCCCTGTGGTTTTCTGGTTCCAGGCTCCTGTTGGGCAGTGCAGAGGAGCCAGTTGAGGTCTGGCCTCGGTGCTGGGCCAGCACAGTGTCCTGGCGCCTTGGCAGACCCTGAGCCTCTTGGGCTCAGTTTAGACCCCTTGCCTCTGCCCAGAGAACATCCCGTCAGTCAACTACTTGTGGTGCCGCAGGTCCTAACCTTCCGAGCTGAGCGGAGGAATGGGAAGGGCTTATCCTGCCTGGCACATGGCACAATGCCAGAGGGAAGAGAGGCGCTGGCCGGCCGGGAGTATTCCCCAAGAACGCTGGGGCGCCAGTCCTTCAGCCTGCCCTCCTTCCTTCTACAGCCCGAGACAGGAAATTACACTCCTTTTCTTCCTGGACAGCCCTGGTTGATAAGGACAGCGTTAGCCTCAGTAGAAGGCTCTTGATACTTCCCTTTAAGAGCCAGGGCAGAATTCAAGAGGTCAGTGTAAAGCTCTGGAAAGGGCTCTGGAGCCAGGCATTGAGTTCCCATTTTGGCCCAGTCTAGTCCAGTTCTGTGACCTTGGATGTGTTACTTCCTCTTTCCTGGACTGTTTCTTCTTCCCTCCTGCAATGTGAAGAGCCTGGTGAAATTCCCTTAATAAACTAGTCCATCAAGGACGCAGACACAGGTGGTTCCAGTGTATTGCTGTGCTGTGGGGCCCCAGACTGGGTGGCAGAGGAGGGTCCCAGTGCCTCTTGAGCCAGGCCCAGTGGCTGTAGAGAGATGGGGTGATTTGCCAGAGTGGCCCCAGAGACCCGGAGGGAGTGCACTGTGGTCAGGTGAATGTGCAGGGCCAGCAGCACATCTGGGGTAGATAGAGTAGGAAATAGCCAAGAGGACCCAGGGACCTCAGGGGGATGGCAGGATGCATAGTCAAGGCCATAGCAACTGTGCAGCTGCCCCAGGGTCTTCTAGTCACTGATGAACACCCAGCTCTTAGGACTGTGCCCAGACACACCTCATAGGCCTCCGTAAACCTGGGTTAGTTGTCCTCTGGAGCTGAGGTCATGCCAGTATTGGGCCTTGGTATTTAGCGGTCTGCAGACTTGATGACACTTGCCATGCATTTAGTGTCTGGTGTTGCCCTGAGTTCTTCAAGGCCCTGGGGCAGAGGTGGTTACCCCATTTAGCAGGATTGAATGGAGGCTGGTCAGTGCTCACAAGCTCCAGGACCCACAGCACCATCAGAACACTGTGCTGTGTTTAGTTACTGTGCTGGCCTTTGACTGCTGTACCACCCCTCTGCTGGCTTGATTGTTTTGGCTAAGAGTCGAGTCAGAAGAGATGAACCCGATCTGAAGGCCTCTTAGTTGTAGAGTTGTGGTCTCTGGGTTCCCCATTCTGTGGGGTGCACTGTCATGAGAACTCCATGCAGGGCTGCTGGCTGCCTCAAGGGACTCTTTGAGAACCAGCCTCCCATTTTAGGGGTCCTGCAGCGTAGGGAGAGATTCATGCCAGCCAAGTGGATGGGGGAATTGGGGTTGTCACACTGCTAGTGCTGGCGGCCCTGTCCTAGGAGCTCAGAGAGCACATGCCTTACTGCTATGGAGGAGCCAACCAGCTTGAGCCCTGGCCCAGGTGGGCCAGGCCACTGGGGCCCTCCCCAGTGGTTTCCACACTTGCCTTTGCCATCCCCTTTGCCCTCTCCCTGTGAGCTTGCAAACAGTGGCTTCTCTATCCTGTGCTGAGGGGGGAGCCTGTCCAACCTCCCCCAGGATGCCTGGCCTTGCAGTAGATGATACTAGGAACCCAGGGAAGATCAGATGAAGTCGCAGACTCAGTGCTCAGGGTCAGGCTGCTCAGAGCCATTGATTCCTGAGGGTGCTGTAGGGTTTGTGCTGGGCAGTGCTGCGAGTAGTCTGTGCCCTCCTTGAGGACATACTCTGCTGGACGCTGTTTAGGACTTGCCAGGGGGTCCCATGGCAGGAGCCACGGAGGTTAGGTAGCCATCTTTCCTAGGGAACAGGTCTCACCCATGTTAGCAGGCGCTGACAGGGAGCCAGTGCCAGCACCGAGAGACTGCAGACTGTGTCTCGGCTGGGGCTCTGTGGCTCTGGCATCGCACCAGCCACACAGCCTGTCTCAACCTCTGGATCAAATGGCAGTGATGGTGTTGACACCTTCACTGTGTCTGCTGCTGCTTGTCGAACTCTCAGCGTGCCTTATCCTGTTGGATCCCAATCCTGGCCCTGGGAGCGCAGGACGGACACACAGGCAAAGCACCTTGCCCAGGTCACTGGCTGCTCTGGTGGGGCTGCTTGCTGACCCAGCAGCCTGCCTGGAGAGATTGTCCTTGCGCCTCGCCATCTCTCCTAGGTGTTAGGGGATCAGGAGTGGAGCTTATGTGCTTACGGCACTCTGTGCCTGCGGGTCTGGGGCTTGATCTGTTGCCTCGGGGTAAGCAGGACAGTGGAGCTGGGGGAAGGGGCAGTTGGACAGCTTCCAGGCAGGGGCCATTGATGATGGGGCTTGTCAGTGGGCACGCTGCCTCAGCAGAGAGCAAGCTAGAGAGGCGAGTGAGGTAGGGGCAAGTATGTGTTGCTGGAAGGTTGATGGGAGGGTGTACGCCCAACCAGAAAGTGCCCTGCTGGGGGCTGGTCTGTGCTTGTTCTTGCCTATCTTTTAATATGCTTTTTTTTTTTTTTTTAAGGGGCACTATAGATTGAACCCAGGGGCACTTAACTACTGAGCTATACCCTCTAGCCCCTTTTTATTTTTAATTTTGAGACAGGGTCTTGCTAAGTCACTAGAACCTCACCAAGTTGCTGAGGCTGGCCTTGAACTTTCTATCCTCCTGCCTCAGCCTCCTGAGTAGCTGGGATCACAGGTGTGTGCCATCATGTCTGGCATGTATGTTAATTTTTAAGAGCAGTTTTAGGTTTGCAACAGAACTGAGTAAAATTTGCAGGGCTCCTGTGTGTCCCTGTCTTTCTGCCCTCACCGTGGCCATGTTTGTTAACCCTGATGAACTCGCGTCACCTGTTACCACCAGAGTCCATAGTATACGTTCTGAAGAGTAATCTGTTGGGTTTTAGCAGGTTTCAGTTATTTGCCAGCATTTGAGAATCTGAGTGTTGGGAGTAGATCTGAAGATCAGCATGCACAGAGGGCAGCCCGTGGCCAGGGAGGGGCAGGGTTGCTCCCCAGGAACCTGAGCTCCTGCCACTCCAGCTGCACTGCAGCTTCACAGTAGGTGAGGGTTCTAGAAATGTCTTGTGGAGAAGGCGGGTGTGACTCCAGGGCAGGAGCCATGTATGTCCTGCTCAGTCATGTGTGGGGAACCAGGGGGGCTGGGCACTGGTCTGCTGAGGCAGCAGAGGTGCCCAGCATGTGACCTTGAGTGGGAAGAAGACTGGGAGAGGGGGAGCAGGTGCCCTGTGGTGCTCCCAGCCACCTTTAAATGCAGCCTCAAATGGACTGAAGCGCAGATAGTGTTCTCAGAGAATGTGGTCTATCAGAAGTGGCTCCAGGTGAGATGCGGGAACCTGGGGCTCACCCCCAAACAGGAGTGAGAGCCTGACATGTGTCAGAGTCGATGGTCAGGCCTCGCCCCAGGCTGACGTGCTGAGGGCCTGGCTTTGGCCTTGTGCAGATGTAGTCCTGGGATCGGGGGGCAGGGAGGGAGGAGAATGGGTTCCAGGACTGGTACGAGCGAGGATGGGGGAAGGAGGTGGTGGGGAAGCAGTGGTGGTTCTGTTGGGCCCAGGAAGAGGTGGGGGCGGTAGGATGGAGAGGTCCACTGAGGTCATGAGTCCGTGTCTGGGACTGCGGGTGCAGGGGAAAGGGGGAGGCACACCTAGAGCTCGCCCCCAAGGAACTTGTGGCCAGGAAGGAATAGACAAGGTGACTAGAGGGTGGGAGGTGGCCAATGGTGGAGCACCTGCCTGCCGCGCACAGTGCCCTGGGTCCAACCCCAGCACCGCAGGAACCAAGAAAGGATGATGAGAGGTGGAGGAAGAAGGGGACCCTTGAGCCCACCCTTGAAAAGGGGAATGGGCTGGCAGGTGGAGGATTGGGCAGGGCTCTCCAGAGAGAAATGCTAGGTGTGGCCAGGAGAGGTGGCAGTGCACAGGAAATCCAGGTCTGGAGGAAGACGCCGCTGCAGGGGAGACGGGGCCCTGTGGAGGAATCTGGGTTTCACAGTGCTCCTTGGGCCAGTGGTGGGCGCGTGGGCAGGGAGCACTGAGCTGCGCTGCTTTTTCTTGTCGTCGTGGCTTTGTTAAGGTAAGGTCCCCCATGCCACAGCTCACCCACGTAAGGTGTGCCTTCCCAAGTTGTGCACCCATTGCCATGGTCGATTTTAGAACACCGTGCTCCTCCCCAAGAGAAGCTGCCCTCTGAGTGGCCGTCCTGTCTACCTGCCTGGCCCGGGAGCTGTCAGTCCACTGTCTTTCTCCACGGACATCTGGACATCATGCACACTTAGAGGCAGGCAGTGCCCTCTGCCTGGCGCACTCTGAGCCTGGCGCACTCTGAGTTTGCAGGGCTCCTCTGTAGGGTGGGTGTCAGCTGGGCGGTGGGTGCCTCCGCTCCGGCTGTGGAGAGAGTGTTTTTGTGGACATTCACGTCGGGGGTTCTGGGTGGCTGTGTTCTTGGGTGTGCGCTCAGGAGTGGAGGTGCTGGCCTGTGAGGGCTGCCCATATCCCACTGCAGTGCGCTAGCCTGCCCAGCAGAGGCTTCCAGCCCCCCCAGCAGCCCCGAGCCCGTGTTCCAGGGGTGCGAGGTGCCAGGTGCCATCTCCTTAGGCTCCTTCAGTCTCCCTGAGAGCCGATGGCCTGGGGCAGTTCTCCGAGCTTGCCACCACTTGTGTGTGTTCTTTGGAAAAATGCTTGTTCAGCGCCTTTGCCCAGTGTTCCTAATTAGATGTCTTATTATGCACCATGGTGGGGTTCACATTGACCACCTCCCACATGCACAGAATACCGTTCGCTCCACTCGTTCTCCAGGGCTTCCTCTTCCCTCCCTCCCCTGCCCCCGATCCCCTTCCTCCACGCTTGTCTTCCTTCTATTGTTTTTAAAAATTGGTGTTTTATGGATGTACACAGAGGTGGAATTCACCGTGATGTATTTATGTGTGTACATAGTGTGGTCTGCCGTCCGATTCCACGGCTCCTCCCTTTTCCCGTCCCTCCTCCCTCTACCTCAGTCTCCTTCCTCTGCTCACTGATCTCCCTTCGGGTCTCCTAGAATCATGGCATTTCCTCCCCTACCCCAACTTTCCCCCTTACTTTGCTCTAGCTTCTGCATGTGAGAGAAAACATTCTGACCCTTGACTCTCTGGCTTATTTCACTTGGTATGATGGTCTCCATTTCCATCCATTTACCAGCAAATACCATAATTTTATTCTTTATGACAGTAAAAGTTTACTATGTATAAATATCATATTTCTTTAACCCAATCTCGTAGCAGCACAGTTCACCAATAGCTAGGTTATGGAACCAGCCCAGGTGCCCAGTTTTTAACAGGGTTATTTGAACAGAGTGACTTTTTACAAGGGTTCACTGGTTGTGATGTGGGAGGGGACTTGAGAAGGGCAGGCTGGGAGCCTGCACTGTGGTAGCCGAGGGGGGAAGCCCCCAGGAGCTGGCAGTGGGAAGGGTGGGTAGAGAAGCCTGTGCTGGTGAAGGAAACAGGAGGAGTGCATGAGGTGCCCGTGCCCATGCCTTTGCCAGTGCCACAGCGATGTCTGAGGGTTCATGTTGAAGGGTGGCCGCAGCATTGGGTGACTGAAAAGTCAGAGGGTGTTTCTTAACTGAGTTGCTAAGTGGGAGGAGTGCAGATGGTCAAGGGCTTCCCAGGAGGTGAGAAGGAGGTACAGTCCCCCTCCGAGGCTTAGCCAGTGTGTGAGGATGCAAGTGGGTGGGAGAGAGGGTCTGGGAGCATCTGCTGGGAGCAGCCTGGCTTGGCCTTGCTGGGAGGGGTTGCTTCTGACCCTGCCCACAGCCCCAGTGTCGGGGAGGAGGAGGCTGGATTGGCAGTAGAAGAAAGAGGGGATAATTGGCGGGCAGGCATCCAGCAGGGTGGGTGGGACCTCATAACAACAATAATAACAATAATTTGTCTGGGGCTTAATAGCCCTGCCAGATCCACGTGCTAATTGGACTGCTGGAGGGCCCGACTGGGGTGGGCGCAGGAGATGCCCTCCCCTCCTTCCTCTGGAGGTGGAGGTCAGAGCAGGGTGATCACCTGCACGGAGAGGGCCCTGAAGGGAGTGGCAGGACAGGCAGGGATGGCTGGGGTAGGCTCTGATTCAGGCTGCTGCCTTCTTGCTTCGGGGTTCCCTGAATTGCCTGCAGTGCTCTTCTTTTCTAGTGTGTGGTGCTGGGGATCAGACCAGGTCCTCATGCCTGGGGTTTTCTTGAGAGCAGGTGAGGGACCTTCTCCAGGGAATTGCCCTGGGCCCTGAAAGTGGAGTCAGGAGCTGCCCGAGGTCCCCAGCTCCTCATCTTTGACCCTGCAGATGAAGCCCCACTCCCCGCACCGTGAGGTCCTAGGGGTGGGCCCCAGAGCCCAGAGGTTTAGGGAGGAGGGCCAGCACCCAGGTGAGGGTGTCAGGGAAGGTGAATGGAGAGGAGGAGGACTGCGTGGCATTTCAGCTACCCTTAGGCTGTTTGCCAGTCTTGCTGATTACTTCCTACACAGTGGTACCAGTCGTCTGCTGTTCCTTGTCCCCATCCTACGGAGGATGCTGTTGAGGCCTGAAGAAGCAGAGCCTTGCTCAAGGTCAAAGGGCAGTGCTGCCGAGGGACTAGAGAGGGTGTCTGCACTCAGCTTGTTTATGCACATCTGCCTCCCAGGGATGCTGTCCTGCCCCAGACCGCAGCTGCTCTCAGCAGCCACCGACTGGGAGAAGTCAGGGGCAAGCAGCACCAAAGCCTTGGTAAAGACCCTCGCCCCTGCAGCTGACCGCCAGATGCCTGTGCTCCAGCTCAGTGCCCATGCGCTCCTTCTGCCACGCCCGCTGCAGGGCCCCGGTGCACAGTGGCGATTCGGGCTGTGCAGAGTAGCGGGAGGAAGGCCTCCCTCCTGCCCAGGCTGCTCGGGGTCTGCCGGGTTATTATGTGGTATGTCACCTGTGAGCCCACCCACCAGCCCTCATTTATGAACCTTGGATCCACAGACAGAATCATCAAGAATTTGGGGTCAGCAGCCACACAACACTGAGGTCAAGCTGGGGCCTCCCTCCTGCCTGCCCTGTTCCTGTCTTCCCTCCTCCTGTCCTCAGTCTCCCCCGGGTTCCTCTTTGCTGGGCCTTGAGAGCTTCCCTCCGGTCCTGTAGCCCCATCGTTCACATCAGGAGTCAGTGAACTTCTGTAAGGGGCCACTTCTCAAGTATTTTAGGGTTTGTGGACCAGGAGGCAAGTCGCCTCTGTCATTCATGTAGGTAATTAGATCAGTCTTAAAATGTGACAATGACCATTGGCAGGTGGGAGGAGTTTGTTGACCTCAGACTCCTGCAGAGAGCTTAGGGTCAACCCCTCCACCTCTCAGCCGCCAGCTCTCTTCCTGGCCCTGATGCCTGTGGCCTCACTGCCCTGGGCTGCCCCTCCCTGCAGAAGCTGGGCCTGAGACTGGGGCCAGGGAGGGCTCTGAGCTGGGAAGTCCCTGTGCCTCTTGAGCTTAGGCTTTCGTTTCAGGGAAACATTATCGCACTTGGCAGAGAAGGCTCAAACAGCAAAGGCCATGAGGCCTGGCCCTCCCCTGGCCCTGGCGGCCCCTGGCAGCAGCCTCCCGTCTCTCCGGTTCTCTTCCCATGTGGTGTTGTCGTCAGTGGGCGGGGCGCTGTTCTGGAGTTCACTTTTTACTAGAGGTTTGTGCGCACTGAGACGCTCTTCTGCAGTGTACAGCTTGGTGGTCTCTATCATTCGCGGAGTTGCTTAGGCAGCACCACTGTCTAGTTCCAGAGTGTCTCCTCACCTTCTAGGAGCCCCCACCACTCGGCATTCACTTGTTCCTGCCTTGACCTCCAGCAGCCACTGTGTCTTTCCTGGCGCAGACAGCCTGCATGGGGAGTCCCCGCCATGTGTGCCTTGTGCCTTGTGCCCTTGCCTTGGCGTTTGGATTGGTCCAACTTTTTGCCCATTGGGAACAACTTGCCATGAACACCACCTGTGGCATTTGTGGCGGACATGAGTGTTTTCTTCTGTTGGGTATGGGCCCAGCAGTGGACTTGAGGGTCTGTAGTCAGTGCGTTTGTCACTGGAAGAGTTGCCAGGCTGTTTCCCAAAGCTGGGCACTACTCTTCGTCCCTTGCAGTGTGCCAGACTTTGCCTAATTAAAAAAAAAAAAATTGGTATTGGGGATTGGTTCCAGTGGTACTCTAGCACTGAGCTACATCCTCGGTCCTTTTTTTAAATTTTATTTTGGGACAGGGTCTTGCTAAGTTGCTGAGCCTGTCCTGAACTTGTGATCCTCCTGCTTCAGCTTCCCGAGTCGCTGAGGTTACAGGTCTGGTCACTGTGCCTGGCTCCTATGGTGTTTGGAGGTTGATGATGTATTGTGTAGGCTGCAGTTTTGTGTCTTTTTTGGGGGGGGGGGGTACCAGGTGTTGAACGCAGGGGCACTCGACCACTGAACCACATCCCCACCCTGTTTTATATTTTATTTAGATACAGGGTCTCACAGAGTTGCTTAGTGCCTCACCCGTTGCTGAGGCTGGCTTTGAACTCGCAATCCTCCTGTCCTAGCCTCCCAGGTGCTGGGATTACAGGCGTGCGCCACCACACCGGCCAGTTTTGTGTGTTTGCAGGGGAAGCAGAACTTCCTCTCGTAGGGCCTCTGGGCCTGAGAGGCTGACATGAGACAGATGACCAGGAGAAAAGCATGTGCCTTAACCTTGCCTGTGTGCTGGAGGCGTCCTGGGACAGTGAGGCCCAAGGCTGGGGACCGCCGGGAGGGTGGCCGCGTGGCTGGGGCTGAGGGGAATCCGAGCTTCAGCAGGGCTTGTTTGTGCAGAAGGCCGTGGCCTTGGCTCCCACCTTGTGATAAGTCGTTCGGCTGCCCGGTACATGGAGCAGAGCACATTGCATGTGGGAGTTTCTCCCCTGCTTTCAGGCAGAAAGGGAGTCGCCGCTGCCTCTGTGGTTGAGGTCAGCCCTGGCTGGGCGTATCCTGGGCACTTCTGCTGCCCCCCACTCTGCCCTTGTGCCCACCACTTGCCCATTTGATACAGTTCTCACAACTGTCAAAAAGATCAGTCTTTATAGTCTTTTTCTCTTATTAAGAAGTAATTGTGGGGGCTGGGGATGTGGCTCAAGCAGTAGCGCGCTCGCCTGGCATGCGTGCGGCCTGGGTTCGATCCTCAGCACCACCTACAAACAAAGATGTTGTGTCCGCCGAAAACTAAAAAATAAATATTAAAATTCACTTTCTCTTTAAAAAAAAAAAAAAAAAAAGAAGTAATTGTGGGCTGGGGATGTGGCTCAAGTGGTAGCGCGCTTGCCTGGCATGCATCGACCCGGGTTCAATCCTCAGCACCACATACAGAAACAAAAGATGTTGTGTCTGCCGAAAACTAAAAAATAAAAAAAAAAGAAGTAATTATATTTTACTATTAAATCAGAAAAATAGAGTCAGAAGGAAGTTAGAATCAATCCTCATGTGATGAGCAGGTGGTCCCTGTTGGTGGCACCCTGCTATCATTGGGGCCAGCCCACCCTCTGTGGAGCAGGCCAGTATGATTCGCTGACACTTTTTTCCATTGTTGGGCATGTGTGACCTTGCTGGTTTTCTGGTGCTAAACTCTGACATGATCTTTTTTTCCCTCATAAAAAGCGTCTGCTGAGGTTTTGGTTTTCCCTTCTGAGTGGCTTCTGGAGAGGTGATCCTCTGGTCAGGGGCCTGCATACTGTGCAAGCTCCCGGGCTGTTGGTGTCTGTCCCCAGTGTGTTCTTGCTGGAGTTCTGCCTGAGCCGGATGGGGAGGTCCTGCACGTGGGGTGCGGCAGGCTATGCCTCAGCAGGCTGCTCCCTCAAGTCTTGGTCCACATTCCCGAGAGCACCCCCATGCCTGGCGCTGCAGGGGTGCAGGGTTAGTGCTGCCAGTGGGCAGGGGCGTGCAGACCGACCAGCAAGAGGCGAGGGAGCTAGGGCCTTCCGGAGGAGGGCCGGCAGTGCGAGGCTCTCTGGAGACGGTGTCTCAGAACGCGTTGAGGGGTTTGGGCTGGCTGGGCTGATGGGAAATGGTCGTGCCGCCGAGGCTGCTCCCGAGGCCCGGAGCTGGCTGGCCCTTCTGCTGCCTGCCTGCAAGACCCGTGCATGGCTCTTGTCTTGAGGGTCTGGAGTTGTGACAGCTTTGTCTCCTGCAGGTGCTGGGGACTTGAGAGCCAGTCAGCAGGGCCTGTACAGGAGGCAGGAGTTCTTTGTGTTTGGAATTCCCTCTTACTGCTCTGTTTTGGCTGTAGAAGCTGGCAGCACTGTGTCAGTTCCCCTCCCCAAATTCTACTGGAACTTTCTTGTTTGTGAAGTCCTAGTATCTGGAAGCTGCCTGCTGGCTCTGCCATTCCTTGATGCCATGTGGTCACTGGAGTTCCCTCCACACCTGGATGCCAGTGTTGTCTGGCTGCCGTCTGAGCAGATACCCTCGAGGTCCAGTTACTCTCTTCCAGTGCGCTGGTGGACTGGCGTCAGGAACCTGCCCACTGTGTCTGGCTTGAGGATTTCGTGTGGTTGGGATATAGGAAGGCCTCAGGGCAGGCAGGTGCACTTGCTGCTGTCCAGTCCTCCTGTGCTGGTAGGTGACCTGTCATAGGCACAAGGACCTCTGTGGATCAGGAGTCCCTCCGTGGCAAGAGTGCTGTATGCATCATCCTGTTTGCACCTGAGGTCCTTCATCTTGCCTATGAGGAAACTGAGGCACAGAGGCAGCACTGTACGCTGTGTCCCAGCTGTAGGTGGCGCTGGGCAGGAGGCTGGTGTGGCTGTGGCCTGAGTGGCTGCCCCAGGCCTTCCCTCCACTCCCTGTCAGAGGCGAGTCGTGGGCGTTGTCTGCTGGGCTGTTGGTGCAGTGCCTGACCCCAGGGCCTTCAGTTCCATCTGGTGCCCTGTAAACTGTGACCTTCTGTCTCATCCACTTCCTACAGGGACGTAGACATGGAGCTTCGGGAAGAGGCCTGGTCTCCAGGGCCACTGGATTCTGAGGACCAGCAGATGGCCAGTCACGAGAACCCAGGTGAGGTGGCCCTGTAGGTTCCACTAAGCCAGCTCTGCTGCCCTCCCGCCAGGGGGGGAAACGCTCTTCCCCCTGCTGTGACTCTGGCACGCCTGGTTCCCCGCCCCTTCCTCTCCTCCCCAGGGCTCTGCATCCTAGCTTGGAGGGGCTCCTGTTGGTGTTTCCAGTTGTCCTTGCAGTGGAACCGTCCTGAGGCCTTGGGGACCACCTCTGTCTGATTTCTTCTCCGGTGCCTCCAGCTTGGGGCAGCACCCTGTCCCTTGCTGAGGGTACCCCTGCTCTTCCACTGGCCTCTGGTTCCAGGTGGCCCTTGCTCCCTGGCAGGCTGCTCCTCAGACCAGGGGTGGCCAACCCAAGTGCAGGGCCTGGAAGGCAGCAGTGACCGGCCTGGAGGGTGGGTGCCTGTGTTTCAGGGGACTTGATGGGTGTCACCATGAAATCTTTGCGTGTTGGCAATGTTTTTTGTTTAATAAAGTATTTGGGTGAATAAAACGCATCTGTAGGCTGCACAGTCCAGGGTGTGTTTGAGACGCAGCCCACCACACACTCACTTCCTCTGTTGCCATGACTACAGCCCAGGGATGAGAAGGCCCTGGGAAGAGGCGCAGTGGCAACAGGCAGCCTCGCCCCAGGTTTGGCATCCTCTGTGCCCAGGCAGCACTGCTCACAGAGCCTGAGGCTCAGCTGGCTCAGTTGGGGCCTGCGTCTGCACCCAGGATGTGGCCCTGTGCCTGCTTACATGGGGCTGGAGGGAGAGTGGGGCACAAATCCTGACGTCTGGAAGCACTCAGTGCTACTTGCCCGTGTTTCTTCTGCCCTCTGTCCTGCCACTGGCCACCCAGCACAGTGACCTGCTGCTGGCACTGTGGCCAGGCCTGTGCTGGAGCAGGCGCTCCTGAGGGAGGGTGCTGAGCTGCCTGGTGCCTGCCTCTCCACTGGAGCCCAGCGAGGGGGGACGCGGAGGAGAGCCGAGGGGGCCGTCGTCGGGCTGGTGGGTTTGCCAGGGTTTTGGTGCAACTGGAGGCTTTATCATCGTGTTCTGTATTCGAATGTTTCTGAGAAGTGTGCTCAGGTCCTCCAAGCCAGTCCTTCACCGAGAACGGCACTTCGTTCACCTGTCCCCACTAGTTCTCTTGAGGTGGGTCGTCTCCTGGAGCCCACACAGAGCCCAGTGAGGTTGGGCTTCCTGCTGATCAGTGCCATCCTTCCTGTCCGCGCAGGTGAGGCAACAGAAGCCGTGACAGGGTGTGGAGGTGAGCCCCGTCTGCCTCTTGGGCACCTAGTCTCCTGATGGCTCCGTCCCGACTTGGGGTTCTCAGTATGCAGTGAGCAGTGGTGGGTGGGCAGAGCCCCCAAGCCCTCCAGGGCCTTCGCTACAGGGCATGAAAGGAGAAGCGGCCCACACGACTTCCTAAGGAGACATGCTGATTCTGAGGGAGCTTTCTCAGCGGCTGTGTGGCCCCGGACGATCCTCAGGTTCCCGGGCAGGAACTTAGCAGTTGGATAGTGAAGGCCAGCACACTGCCGACGCGAGGCCCAAGCCCCTGTGGCCTGCAGCGAGGGTGCTGGGAAGAGGAAGGCAGGGCGGTTGCCTTCAGGCTCTCACTGGAAAGCATGGGGGGCCTTGGAGATGGGCAGCTGAAGGAGGGGCTGCTGTGTCCAGGCCAGGGAGGTCTGAAGGGCTGGAGCAGCCCGGGCCTGGGGCTCTTGGATCAGCCAGAACCAACAGGAAGCCTGCTGGGCCCCTGTCCTTGCCGACAGAGAAGGAGAGAGGGTCCCAGTGAAAATGGGAGCAGCCAATAGAGCCCCCCGCGGGTGGGCGCGCGTGTGGCCACCGAGCACGGGGTGCAGGCAGCTGAAGTCAAACTCACCACCTCCGCGGATCCTCGTGAGCCACAGAAGAATGCTAAGGGCAGCCCCCAAAAGATACCCTGGAAAGGACAACAGAAGAGCACACCCAGGAAGGTGCGGATCCCTGAGATGTGCAAGATGCACAGCGCGTGGAAGAACCCCAGAACTGCAGAGTCCAGGATTCCTTATGAACAGTTGAGGTGACGGAGAGAGGACGTAAAATGGAAGAGAAATGAAGAGGGTCAGCAGTGACGCGTGTGGAGGCCAGGCACAGGGAAGGCTCACGCACCGCGAGGCAGCCCTGCGGAGGATGTCGGGGCGAGAGAGTGAAGCAGGAGACCCCCAAGCAGGCCACGCAGCATGGACCCCCACTGCCTGCCCCTTGTGGTGTTGCAGCAGAAGTAGCACGTGATGTGACGTGAGTGGGTGAGCACCGCTGTCCAGTGCCCAGGGCAGAGGCAGAGGCAGAGGCGGAGTCCTCGGGTGAGCCGTGAGCCCAGGAGCCCGAGCGCCCTCCCAAGGAGTCTGATGGCACACCAGTGAGCCTCAGATGGCTACTGTGACCAGAGCGGCTGTGGGCGGTGAGCGGCCAGGCCTCAGCACTGCGCAGGTGAGGCTGTCCCCATGTACGCCTGGTGGCTGGGCACAGTTGTGTGCGGGGCATGAGGACAGCAGGTGCTAGGGGGTCCCTTAGGTGCATGGCCGAGTCACCGAGTCAAGGTTTCACGGGGACAAGTGGGGTGCAAGTGCCAGATGTGAGAGGCTAAATTAAAACCTTGGAGTCCCAGATGTGAATGGGGGTTTCACTGTGAACTCCTGAGGACCTTTAAAAAAGGAGCAGTGAGTGTTTCCTGATATTGCTTGTGCAAGCCTTTTGCACCACAAGAGGCCAGGGCTCTGGGGACACTGGTGATATGGTCTGGGGCAGGGAGTGTGGAAGTAGGTGGTGCTACTGAAGGCCACGGGTCCTGTGGGCAGACGGCGTTTCAGCCAGCAGCAGGAGGAGCTTGCCAGCTGTCCACCTTCATCCCCAGTGGTGCTGGGGAGAGGGGACCTCAGACGACAGGGAGCCAGTGCTTTTTCCTGAAAACCTTGCCATTGAGGGGCAGTGAGCTCTTGACCCGCCATCGCCTCCTGAGACTGCACTGGGTGCTGAGGGGCAGGTATGGGGTCTGCAGGATTCAGTTCAGCTTCAACACCAAGGGCAAGGGAGGGCCCTTTTGTGCACCCCATTCAACCTGTGGTCCACTCTGTCGGCGTTACGTGGAGACACACAAGGAGATGCTGTGAGCCCTCTGGAAAAAGCAGGACGACGCCACGCTGTGCCTGAGTGAGCTGCCTGGCCGAGGCCCGGGAGGACCCTGTGGCCATCTTCAACAGGAACACTGCGAGGAAACACGGGCTGTCCTTTGGACCAACCAGCTTAGAGTGACACACCGGAGCACAGTGCCTCGGAGTGCAGTCCTGGTGGCAGAGCTATGAAGAAGTACCAGGAGCTGATCCGCTTGGGCTTGGGAGGTGGGGGGAATCTCCCTGCGGCGACGGAGATGCCTGGCCTGGTGTGTCTTTATATTGAGCTCCTTACCTCTGCATTTGGTTTTGGAGCTCTTTGTGCCTGCCATGTGTGCCACAGAAGGCTGACATCAGAACTGTGGCTGCTGGGCTCCACTTCGGGGGTCTGAGGGGTGGGACACTGCCTGCTCTGTGCCAGGGCTGGAGGAGCTGAAGGACCCCTGAACTCCTTGTCCCCAAGCTGAGAACAGCGTTGGTCTGCTGTGGGGTTGAATTGATCCATGGGCACATTCAGCAATAGGAAGGTGTCGGGACCCTGCCCTCTGCCCAGGGCCCTGCTCCAGCCTCAGTCGCCCTGGTTCCTGCTGGTTTTCATCGAGTACCTGTGTTCTGCACCACTCTCCCCCCGGGGATTTGTTGTGTTTGTGCACTCACATGCGTGTGCTAGGGAACTGAACCCAGGACCTGGCACACACTGCTGCTGGGCTGCATCCCCAGCTTCTCCGGTCCTTTTAATTGACTGCGGGGATTCTGGGAACATGGTAGCCTCTTCCTCCTGAGATGGGGAGGCTGAAGGACCCAAGTGGCATTCTGCCTAATAGCCTGCCCTCCACCTGCAGCACCACGCGGGGCTGGCCTGGTGTGTGACGCAGTGCATGGTGGGACAAAGAGCCCACCTCCCGAGGGATGAGAGGGTCCTCATGCGGCAGTATGAAGCACTGTGTTGGAGGTAGCTGCTGGAACCAGCCTCTCCTCCAGCACCTCTGGCCACACTCCTTCAGCTCTGCTCTGCATCACACGTTGTGTCCCATGCTCTTGACAACTTTGCAAACGAGGCAACTGTTGTTTTTATGGGAAAGCAGGTCTCCTACCCCTTGGCCCGGTCACTCTGCCTGGGACTAAGAGCTTCCGAGGTTTTTGTTTTTAATTCTCTTTTTAATGTACTTATAAGCTGTATTTCTTTCTTGATTTGTGTTGACAACAAATTGGGGTTCATGCCATCTCTTCAGGGTTCCTCCCTGATGCTCACCTCCTGCCTGGATTTTGTCCCCTGCCAATGTGACTCTAGTGTTCTTTGCCTTACAATATAGTAATTCTCAAACTCGAGGACACCAGAACCCCCTGGTGGGTGGACTGGAGTGAAGCCCAGGGGTCTGCATCTGCAGTTCCTGGTGGTCCTGGTGCTGCTGGCCAGGGACCCTGCTGGGAGAGTGAGGGCCTGTTGCAGGAGGTGGCTGAGCAGGCGGGCCGTGGCTGTCGGGGTGTGCCAGGCGTCAGCTTGTCCTGCCTGGGTTTCTCACTCGCAAAGACTCATGTTTCATAGCAGCCATCTTATGCGATCTGACATATAGAGGGCACGGAGCTCTGCCCTCGGAGGGTCTAGCTCTTCTCCCTGTGTTCACCAGTGACGTCTCACAGATGTATTTGAGCACCTTTGTGTTAGCAAGAGGGAACACAGTTCGGGTAGGTTGTGATTCCTGCTTTGAAGGAAATCAGGGTGCACCCCTTGAGGCCCTATAGCTCTGGCAGACCCCATGAGGAGAGCAGGTGTTGTGGACAGCACCCACGTCTCAAGAACAGGACGGGCTGGGAGACGGGCGCCTGGGCAGGCATGGTGCACATGCGGGAAAGGCTTTGTCCGGGTGGGCTGGAGGTGGCGTCCTCCATCGTACAGGTCCAGGCTGCATCTGGGTGTGGCCTGACTCTGGCCCTCAGCCTCCCTGCCCCAGCTCAGGGCTCCGGGTTTCCCGTGTTCTCCCTGGAGGCCTTTCTTGGCCTCCTTCCTAAACATCCATTTATGTAGTCGGTGAATGGCCTCCTGGAGGTCCTTCTGCTCCCTAGGCATGGCTGCCACGGCCTGCAGGAGCGCACCTTGGGGAAGATGGGTGATGCACACTCGTGCAGATGCCCCCAAGAGGTCAGTGCCCTGGGCAGAGGACAGGCCGAGGGTGTGAAGAGCAGCAGACCCGACCTGCGCTCTGTGATGTGGGTGCTGTCCCCACTGTGGTAGGGTGTACTCCATAAAGGCAATCAAGAAGCTGTCCCAGGCCAGCACTCAGCCAGGGTTCCTGCATGGACAGCCCTCTGTGGAGCTGCTGCCTCTGACTCCCTCCCCACCTCTCTCTTGTCTTCCAGTGGACATACTCATCATGGATGATGACGACGTCCCCAGCTGGCCCCCGACCAAGCTCTCCCCACCCCAGTCTGCACCCCCGGCCGGGCCCCCACCCAGGCCACGGCCGCCCGCCCCCTACATCTGCAACGAGTGCGGCAAGAGCTTCAGCCACTGGTCCAAGCTGACACGGCACCAGCGCACGCACACGGGCGAGCGGCCCAACGCCTGCAGCGACTGCGGCAAGACCTTTTCGCAGAGCTCGCACCTGGTGCAGCACCGGCGCATCCACACGGGCGAGAAGCCCTACGCCTGCTCCGAGTGTGGCAAGCGCTTCAGCTGGAGCTCCAACCTCATGCAGCACCAGCGCATCCACACCGGCGAGAAGCCCTATGCCTGCCCCGACTGCGGCCGCAGTTTCACGCAGAGCAAGAGCCTGGCCAAGCATCGGCGCTCGCATAGCGGCCTCAAGCCCTTTGTGTGTCCGCGCTGTGGCCGCGGTTTCAGCCAGCCAAAGAGCCTGGCTCGCCACCTGCGGCTGCACCCCGAGCTGTCGGGGCCTGGTGTGGCCGCCAAGGTGTTGGCAGCCAGTGTGCGCCGCGCTAAGGCGCCGGAGGAGGCAGCGGCGGCGGACGGCGAGATCGCCATCCCGGTGGGCGACGGCGAGGGCATCATCGTGGTGGGCGCGCCTGGCGAGAGCGCCGCGGCTGCCGCAGCTATGGCCGGCGCAGGGGCACGGGCATCTGGGCCGAGGTCACGGCGCGCCCCGGCTCCCAAGCCTTATGTGTGCATGGAGTGCGGGAAGGGCTTCGGGCATGGGGCTGGGCTTCTGGCCCACCAGCGGGCTCAGCACGGGGACGGGCTGGGGGCGGCGGGCGGCGAGGAGCCTGCGCACATCTGTGTGGAGTGTGGCGAGGGCTTCGTGCAGGGCGCTGCGCTCCGCAGACACAAGAAGATCCACGCTGTGGGCGCGCCCTCGGTCTGCAGCAGCTGCGGACAGAGCTTCTACCGGGCTGGCGGGGAGGATGAGGACGAGGACGCAGCCTCCGGCGGGCGCTGCACCGAGTGTCGTGGCACAGAGGGCCGGTAGGGGTGGGGGCGCCCGGGGGGGGGAGCAGGGCCCCTCGGGCTTGGCGGGGACTACAAGACCTGGAGGCCAGGGAGAAATGGACAGAGGGGTGCGACCGGTGGCATCCTCGTCTCCTGCCCCTGCTACTCGGCCTGCGCTGTCTTGGTGCGAGAGGACCTGTGGGCATTAGGGCAAGATGGTTTCTCAAGGTGCCCGCTGGCTCTCCCAACCCTGCCCTTTCTAGGTTCTCCGCCAGAGCTAGACAATGTGAGAACTGTAGAGGTCAAGAGGCCAGACCCTCACTCGAGAGGCTGCCCCTCTCTTCCCACACTGTCTGGGATGTTGTAAGGGATGGAGGGAAGTCTGGCCTTTTGTATTTAGAGGGTCCCAGAAAGGCGAGGGGAGAGGGGCCCTTTGCCCTCTTAGAGTTTTCTTTTAATCATACCCCTTACCCCCTCCCATCCACTATTTTTTCTGCCCTTCGAGTCCTATTGATTTTATAGCCCAGGTTTTCCTCCTGCTCCTGGGTGTGGGGTAGCAGAGGAGTGAAGCAGAAGGAGACCCTACACCCAGGGTAGCCCCCTTCAGAGGATGGGGTGCGCTGTCTGTTCTCTGGCGTGGGCAGGTGGAAGAAGGGGTGTGAGGGCAATAAATCACACTATTCGATTGTCCCCGTAGCCGTGTGGTTCTTGGATTTGGGAGGAAGAAGGGCAAGAGGCTGAAGGGCTCTGGCAACCCCAGGTGTAGCAGTGGACGCCAGCCCGGTCAGTGAACAGCCCCGCCTGTGCCGGTGCTCCTGCTGGGTGCTACTCAGGAGCCACGGATTCCCTGCCACTGGCTGGAGGAAGGCGCTGTGCTGTGCCGCAGGGGGCAGTTCTCCAATCCCGGAGTCCTGCCTTCCTCCCTGGAGACAGCACACACCTCTCCTGCCCAGATGCCTCCAGCCAGTTGGTCACATGGGCACTTCTTGCAAAGGTAGCTGTGCCGGGAGGGCTAATTCCCAGTGACAAACTAGGGCACTGAAGGTGGGAGATGCATTTGGGGGCAGGACCTAGGTATCACTGAGTGCTGTGGCTGTGTCCAGCACTGAGCTGCAGTGTCCCCGCCTGGTCCCTCAGGACCGCTGTAGCGTCCTGTCAGAAGGGTCCTCTGATGCCAATTCCAGTTACCTGGGTCACAGCCCCAGGGCAGAGACCCCTGTCCCTGGGGCCTTGAGGGGGGTGCGGTGACGCCCCACCAGTGGGTATTTCCAAGCTGGCGGGCAGCCGTTTGATTGGAGGGGGTGGGCCACAGGCTTCCTCCCCTGCACTGCAGGAGGCAGGGAGGGGCTTGTGCTTGAGTGAGCAGGTGTTGGGGGCTGGTGTTGCCTCCCAGCTCCTTGGAAGTTTAGGTCACTGAAGGAGGGGGTGGTTTGCTGGGAGTCATGGGGATCATGAAGACTGGGCTTCGTGCCCTTATGTCCCTCTGCTGAGCACTGACCTTGTGCTTCTGGAGGTGGGGGAAGGAGTGGGAGGTAAGCAGTGGGTTCTGGTGCCCGCTCAGTGTGGTAAGTTTGGCCCCTTCCCCAGGAGCTGACGCCGAGATTGAGAAAGATTCAGGGCCAGTCTCCACCCTGCCTCTTACCAGGCTGTTGGCTCTGGGCAAAACCTTGAGCCTCAGTTTCCTCCTCTGCGAAAGGAAAAGATTGCCTATCTTACTGGCAATCCTTTGGGAAGGGATCCAAGCCCAGCACTTGGTCCCAGAGCACGTGCCTCCCAGACAGGGGTAGAACCAAGTGGCAAGTCTCAAATCCTCTGGGCCTACATTACTTTCCCTAATGCAGGGATCCATTTAGTAGTAGTTGTGTTAGTGAGCTGATATGTCCATGGGCTTAGACAAGTGTCCTTGGCACTGGACCTGGCCCTCCTGTCTCAGAAGGAGGGGGTGCCTCCCTTCCCAGGCACTCACCACAGGTTGGCACTGCAACTGCTCTCACAGTGTGTGGGCGGGCGAGCTGAGGGCATGCCAGGTTGGGCCACCTTTCCAATCTCACGAAGCCCTAGCTGCGGTGGCAGCAGAGATAACTCCTGCCACCGTGTTTTTTGACTTCACACCCATCACTCAAGCCATCCACTCTGGGCTGCAGTTTATAGGGCTATGCAACCTCCCCTGCACCCCCGCCCTGAGCCCACCACCACCCTCCTGGATGGAGGAGGCCACATACTGCTCCGTGTTTACTGAGCACATGCTGTTTGCCACGGGCTTTTTGGGGAACAGTGTGACCTTGGTGGTCACAGTGTCTGCCCTTGTGGAGTGCATCTTCTAGGCCCAGGGGAGACAGCTGCCAAGAATTGAGGATGAAGAGGCGGACAGGAGGTAGGTCGTGGAGGAGGGCCCTGGTGGGGCAGGAGCAACGGGCAGTTTCCTGGAGGGGTGCTTTCTGGGTGTGAGGGCAGGGGTCCTCCCTGGACTTCCTGCTCTGAACAGTGCCAGAGTTGTGTATTCCCTATAGCCCTGTTTTCAGGGTGTCCTGGAGAGTGCAGGTTCCAGGCCACACTAATGGGAAGTGCTGGGTTGGTCCCTAGCCTGGACACAGTGCCCACCTGGCACATGGCAGATAGTGGAGATTTGGTGGTCTGGATGATCTCTAGAGAGGCATCCCACCCAAAGCTTTTGGGATTCTGTACTCCAGGGTGGGCACAGGTGTGGAGGGTGGGCAAGCCGTGTTCTGAACTTGTTCTGTCATGAAACCTCCAGTCACAGAGCATCTTGGGCTGGTGTGGTCAGGACACTTTGTGTGCATGTCGGGGGTGTGTATATCTGTGCATATATTTGTGTGTCTTATGTGTGCATTCATATGTGTCTTAGTACACACGTCTCATACATCTTTGTGCATATATGTGCAGTGTGTGTTTTGTGGTCGCGGTGTGCATCTACTCATCCACCCCATCCCAAGGAGGTCGTGGGTGGGGAGGTGTTGTCTCTGACCCCACTCATTTCACCTCTCCTGCCTTGATGGACAGCTCTACCCAGGAGGCCCCCAGCAGGTCCCCAGCGGTGGTGCCTCTGGGTCAGGTCCTTCAGTACTCTGGACAGAGCCCCACCCTGGGTCTCAGGGGCAGTTCACAGGCCTCCTTTGAAGCCTCGTGGGGTCTCCGGCTGCAGGAGGGCGTGCCCCATTTTACAGACAAGGACTCAGAGGGGCAGGAGGTGGGGCCCAGTCTCCCCAGCTCTCCCATCAAGCAAGCAGCAGGGCCCAGCAGCCACGTGCAGCACCCACTCACTGCCTGGCTCTGGGATGCTGTGCACTGGGGGTGGCCGCCAGTGGGCAGGCCGGCTGGCCATTCGGGCTGTGGTTCTGTACCAGGAGGGCTTGGGTCAAGAACTGATATGTTTAACCACAAGGTTTTTTTGTTTTTAAAGAATTATACTTGGAAGAAAATGTTATTTACAAAATCTCACAGGGCTGGGGTTGTGACTCAGCAGTGGAGCGCTTGCCTAGCACATGTGAGGTCCTGGGTTCCATCCTCAGCACCACACAAAAATAAGTAAATAAAATAAAGGTATCCTGTCCAACTACAACTAAAAAAATAAATATTAAAAAAAAATCTTTCTTATTCCAGCTCCCACATGCCTCATTCCTCTCTCCATTCTCCTTGATGAAAACACAATCAAGTGGGAGCACACCCCATCTACTTCTGCCATTGCCCATCTGTCGGCAGTCATCTGTGTGCCTCTGTGGTCTGTGTGCCTGTTTATCAATATCTCGTCATCTGTGTGTCTGTCATCCACCTAGTCTTCCTTGACTGCTGTCTGTGTGTCTGTCAACTAGCTGCACACCTATGGTTGCTCCAGAGCGGCCCGTGGCATCTCATGGGTGGACTTGACCTCTGCGTGGCTAATTCCCGGCTGATGCACTGAGCTCCTCTATAGTCATCTGCTGCTATAACAAAGCCACAACTAGATTGTGCCCTGTCTTGGCACGTGGGGCCTGCAGGGGGAAGGAGCTCGCTCCCGAGATGTTAGACTGACAAGTTGCCTGCCGAGCAGAGCAGCCTCTGCAGGGACTGCCTCCGCCTGCCCTCCCAGTGGGGGCTTTGGTGCGGCAGACACCGGAGAGACTGCGGGAGGGAGGCGAGGGTTTAATGAGCACTGTCTACCAGCTGGTTCTTCACCTGCCTGGCCTAGCCCTGCGCTTAGAGGGGAAGGCCCAGGGAGGCGGAGCTCTGCCCCGCTGCAGAGCAGCAGGATCCTTTTCCTAGCAGGGAGTGGGCGGGCCAGGGAGTGTGGGCCCGCAGTGGAGTGTTATTCAGCCCTGAAGAGGAGGAAGGCAGTGGTGCATGACAGCGGATCTAAACAGCTTTCCCCACCCGTGGCAGGATGGCAAAGCTGCCCATGTCTTGCCACGTGGATCATGTGGAAACCAGGTCCGCTGAGGTGAGAGCCCTTGGAGTGTCAGGGCCATCTGCCTGGGAGGGGCCAGCTGCTCTCAGCCTGGGGAGATGGAGCCCCCCCCCCAGGAACATCTGTGTGCACCTGTCTGGTTGCCGCAGCTGGAGGGTGGGTGTCCCAGCGTTAGCACATCCTACGGTGCACAGGTCACGCCACAGCACAGAGCTGGGTGCCCCCCCCCCCCCCGTGTCAGGCTGGAGGCCGGCTCCTCCTTCTCTCCGCCCACCCGTGCTCCAGCAGTCCTGCGCTACAGGGTGAGCTGGACCCAGGCGCTTGCCGCAGGACCACACCATGGGACAATGGACACTTCTCCCGGGGACCAGTTTACAGCCTGTGGCTGAAGGCATCAGGTGACTGGGCTTCACACACACTTCACCCCGCTTCAGGCTGGTAGAGGAGGAAAGGGTCCCAGAGGAGGCCAGGCCTGTGCAGAAGGCAGCACCCCGCTGGGCCCCACCCACAGTGGGAGGCGGCTGGAGGCCATGCGGGGGACTCACCCGTCACCCTCTGGGGAGGGTCCCCGTCCTCCTGCTGCTCCTTCCCAGGCCACGAATTTAAGAGTAGGGAAGGGACAATTGGGGCCTGGGCAGTGACTCGTCTGGGTACAGACACCCACTCCTGGAGTCCTCCAAGAGCCCCGTGTCTGTCTAGAAGTCAGTTTTGGCCCCCAGGTACCCCAGGCACCAGGCTCCCCGCCCTCTTGCTGGAGCCCTGCTCATCTCGGCAGAGAGCGGGGAGTAGTGGAGCACCGAGACCTCGGCCCTGGTTGCCAGGTGTCTGCTGCAGTCCTCTCCAGGCCTTTGTCTGAACACCTGGACGGTGCACCCAGTTCCACGAGCAAGCTCCACCGGCCCTCAAAGACACAGCCACACTCCGCCCCTTGCACCTCGGCTGCTCTATTGGTGCCTCGGCCAGTGTTCTCCAGAGAGCAGAACCAGTCGTGTTTATATGCACGAGGTAGGTGCACGTCTTCCTACTTCCTATAGACGTGGGAGTTCAGCAGGTAGTTGGTCAGGTGACCTCAGGGGTTGGGAAGTCCCACCATGCTGTTGGTGTGCTGGAGGCCAGAGATGATGCTAGCTAAGACTCGGTCCTGAAGCCAGGACCTCAGACCCTGGGAGGATGAGGGTGCAGAGGTCCAGGAGCCTCTGAAGCCCCTTCTGAGGCTGGTGGCTTCGGAGCCTCCAAGGCTGACGCCCCATCTGAGGCTGAGACCGCTTCTGAGGTCGGAGGCCCAGGT